CACCCCACCCCTTTGGAAGGAGAAAGTTCCTCCTCCTCACAGCTGGGATTGCAAAAAAGAAATGACCCCCCAAACTGGATCGATCCCCCCCCACCACCACCCCGGTACCCTTCCTGCAGCACCTCTCTGGTGGAGGCTCCAGCCTCCGAGACGAAACCGGTGGCCCCAGGGAACTCCAGTGGTTCTCTGCCATTCCACGCCCGGAAAGGGGTCAGAGGGTAAAGTTTGGTGTCGGGGTTAAGTAGGCGGACTCTAACCTGGGAGAACCGGGTTTGATGCCCCACGCCCCCCCTGCAGCTGCTGGTGTGACCTTGGGTCAGTCACAAGTTCTCTCAGAGCTGTTCTCTCAAGGGCAGTCCTCCCACCCCCACCTCCCGCGGGGTTTTTTTGTGGGGGGGGGGGGGGAGGAGATTGTAAACCGCTCTGAAACTCCGAGTGAAGGGCAAGCGATATAAACCCAATCTCCTCCTCCTCCTCTTCAAAGGTCAGCAGCATCCCCAGAACCACGCTGGACCCAGGCAGGCCTTTCAGGGGCCAACCCCTCCCCAAGAAACCAGCCCCCACAGAAACCAGCAAAGGGGGCTTCGGGGGCAGCAGCTGCCATGACAGGCCGGGGGAGTCTGGAGGCCTCGGAGCGAGCCGGAAAAGCCGGATGGGGCCGTCTCAGACCCCCACGACGGCTCGGAGGATCTGCCGGCACCCCCCAGGGAGGAGGCTTCGGGGATCTGCGTGGCTCCCCCTCCCCCAGAGGAGAGTCGGTTACACGGGGCACGCGAATGCCCCAAAAGAGCCCTGCCTCTGTCTGCAGTCTGGGTAGAGAGAGGCTCACGGCGATCCCTCAGCTGGTGGCCCACAAATCATGCCCGCGTGGCTCACTCGCCAGTCTCTGCTTTCGGTAGCCACCATCGCCCTCCCTTCCTGGCAGGGAATCTTTGGCCCGACAGACACGGCAGGAGGCCCCAGCGAGACGGGATCCTGCGTCTCTCTTGCCAGGCCTGGGCCCCCGCTGGAGGGAGGGAGGGAGACAGGCTGGGGCGTGCCCTCGCCGGGAGTGTGTGTGTGGGGGTGGTCCTCCTCTTAAGCCGAGTGGGGCTCGGGGCCTCCTGCCAGAAGGGCTGATCCCAGAAGAGGAGGAGGAGTTCGCTTTATACCCCGCTCTTCACTAACCGAAGGACTCTCGGGGTGGCTTACAATCGCCTTCCCGCCCTCCCCCCGGTGAGCAGTGTTCCCTCTAAGCTGAGTCAGTGTGAGCTAGCTCACAGTCTTTTAGCCTCCGGCTCACACATTTGTGCCCTGGCTCAGGAAGGGCTGGCTCCAGAGCAAACTAGTTTAGGCTGCAGCCCAATCACTCGCTCACAACTTAAACGCCGGTCGCTCACAAAGCAGAATTTTTGCTCACAAGACTCTGCAGCCTAGAGGGAGCACTACCGGTGAGCAGTGTTCCCTCTCAGCTGAGTGAGTGTGAGCCAGCTCACAGTTTCTCAGCCTCCGGCTCACACATATCCATCTGAGCTCAGGAAGGAGGGCTCCAGAGCCAACTCATTCCTGCAGCAGCCCAATCACTCACGTGCAACTTTAATGCCAAACAGCTCACAAAGCAGAATTTCTGCTCACAAGGCTCCGCCGCTTAGCGGGAGGCATTGCCTGTGAGGGAGGCGGGGCTGAGAGAGCTCTGTGACCGGCCCTAGGTCACCCAGCTGGCTGCATGTGGAGGAGGAGTGGGGAATCAAACCCGGTTCTCTCCAGACCAGAGTCCTTGCCAGTCTTAACAACTATGATACCAAACCGGCCTTCAGAGGGGGAAGCTTGCTCGGAGATGAGTGTCCCAGGGGCCACGAGTCACGCCGGGGCAAACAGAGCCAAAGCGCTGAGGGTGGGGGTGCACTCCACGGGGTGTGTGTGCGTGTGTGTGGGGGGATTACCCAGGGTCCTCCAGGAGCAGCAGGTCCATCCGTGCGGCTTGCTTCGCTGCCACCTCGGCCTTCTCCTCCTGCAGGGCCAGCTGGTGCCGGAGCACCTTGTTGGACGCCTTCCCCTGCAGAGAACGTGGGCGGGGGGGGCACAGAGCAGGGTCAGAGGCGGCCCCCGCAAAAGCCTTGCTGGGGGGGCAGGGGTGGGAGGGAGCAGCATTTCCCCCACCTTCAGCTTGGCCCCTCGCTGGAACTTCTGCAGGCGCTCGCGGGGGACGACAGATGCC